TATATATAAATCCATTTAATAATATAATTTATATTATAACATTAATCTAAATTTATCTCTAACTTTTATCTTCCATGTCACTTCTTATTGTTATTGGAAAAAAAAGGGATAAAAAAGAAAGGAGTAGGGAATTATTCTACTCTGATAGTTAACGGGATTATTTTATTTTATTTTATTTTTTTTGACCAGGTAAATGGTTAGGAAGTTAGTAGAGTTAGTTTGTTAGCAGCTGGAATTTTTTCAGGAAAGTGAACCTTTCACCCCCTCATTTGAGGCGCGCGACCATTAGGTCGCAAGTTGGTGGAGTTTACGGCGGTGGCAAAACTCGAAACCCTGACCTCCGCCTCACCCAAACCTTAAAGCTAGAGGGCCAATCAATTGGACCACAGGTCCGGTTGGCGGCATTATTTTATTGATTGCAACATTGGTGGCGGTTGGTAGGAATTATCCAAATATTTATTAGTAGAGTACGATTACACCACATATGTCAGTAGTCACAGTGCCCCTCTAAGTCAACAGTGGAGACTCTTTGTTTCTCTGGAACAAAGTTACTAGGTTTCCCTATTTTTTGATTGACAAATGGTTTTAGGCTGTTTGGCAACAGTTTCTTCTTTTTTTTTTTTAATCTTATTTTGGCAGTGGTTTTTTATAGGGTTGCTTGCTAGTTTATATTATAAGTAAAATTTTAAAAACTTTATCTTTTAAATTTTAAATATTTTGAAGGGAAAACTTTCATTTTTTTTTTTTTAAATGGTAAATGGTTACACGCAAGTTTTGTAGAGAGACGTATGTTCACAGCACAACATCTTTCTTTTGCTGGAAAAAGGTAATCGGTCGTCCCCCAATTGTTGTATGGAGAAAGTCGTAGATGTAATTGTTGTAAGACAATTTTAAAAATTTTTCTTTAAGGATAATAGTTTTTATATCTCTGTAGGAAATGTTATTCTTAGGATACAATGTTTACTAAAATAAACTTTGATTACCCGATCAGTATATTGAAACTTGAAAAGCAAAGTGCAGAAATTCAAAAAAAAAAGATAAGAAAAACTCAAAGTATTTATGGAAGAGTTAATCTGTTTTTCCTTAAAATTGTGTTATTTATCTATAATTTCCAACCAATGATTTTACATTGGTATAAAATAGATACACTCCTCAAAAAATAACTCTTCAATATTTTATATATTTATATCAAATAATATTTCAAACCTTTTGCCCATTGCAGCCGATTTTCTCTTACTTAAATTTAACTTTCAACCTGCAAATAAGGCAGTTACCCAACAAGTTTCAACCACTTCTTATCTTTATTTTTTTCTTTTTCTTCCTTATCTGACATTGCCCCATGTTTCAACTTTTAAATTGTAGGTTAAATGTTAAATTTGGTCCCTTAACTTTAGTGAGTTACACATTTTTGGTCCCTCAATAATTTTTTGTATTTTTTTGATCTCTCAACTCTAAGAAATGCACACCGTTAGTCCTTCTGTCAATTTACACCGTTAAGTTCGCCATGTGGCATTTTTTATGTTTTTTTTATGATATGGCAAAAACAACATTAAAAAGTGCTACTTTGGAATTTTTTTTGATGACGTGTTCGATATCAACTCATACATTAAATTTGTTTAAGATTTATATTTTTAATAAAAAATAAAAAAATTCGACTCACCTTCTCCCTTTTTTTTTTTTTTTTGTAAAACCATTCAGACC